TTGCAATCAGTTCCATCATTTAATATTTATACTTTGGTTGATATCTTGTATAGTTATCTATGTTTCTCAGATTTATAAGGTACGTTAAATACACACACAAAAAGAAAAAGAAAAAAAAAAATATATATATATATATATATATATACATGATCCTGTTGACTATTTTGTACAGACGGACAGTCTATTCTAGGATAAATCCCTATGATTATGGGATTGCTTCTAAATATACAAATCCAGTATAATTGCAAGTTACATTATAGTTGCAAGTTGACTAATGGGTTAGTTCCGTGGGTAGGCCTGATAAAAAATTTAAAATAAGTTAAAAGTTTTAATTTAGTTTGATCTTATATTAAATTAATGGGTTAATTTTGATTTTATTGAATTAAAAATAAATTAATATATTTATACAAAATCAATTAATTAAAAAATATTTAAATAAAAATATATTTTAAATTTTTTTATTAATAAAATTAATTTATATTTAAGATATAATAATTTAATATATAAATTATAAAATAATGTATTTATTTAATTAAAAATTTTATTTTTTATTATCATTATTTATTTTTAGTAATTGATTAATCTAAATTGACAATTAATCTTAATAATTAAATCTTGAAAAAAGTTATTATTAGAATTTTATTTTTAAAATAAGTAGATTTTTTGTTAAATTAATTTATATTATATTATATATATATATATATATATATATATATATATATATATATATATATATATATATATATTAATAGAATATTATTAGTTTTGTTTTTATTTAAAAAATTATTATTATTCTTTAAAACATATCTACTCATAACTTTATCGATTAGTTTAACTTAAGTCCACATGTGTTGTTATTGTCTAAATAAGATAAATCAAAATAGAATTGATTCAATTTAAATTATTTTTTTTCTAACTTTACTTATTTCTCATGTAAGCTCATTAGATTAAGTCTATTTTAACATATCTAAAAGTGATAAGAGATAAAATGGGATGAACATGTTATTTTACCATCCTTAACTTCGATTGCATATCTAATCATTTTTTATTATCACAATATAATTTTCATGGGTTAATCCCACCTTATCTTCAAATCTTTAATATAATCTTCAACTAAATCATCCTTGGTGCATTACTTAAAAACTTACTTTACACTATATTTAGTTATTGTTTCTTTCCGTATACTCATGAGTTTTATATCATTTAAGAGTTGAAATCAATGATAGTTTATATACATTCTTCTCTCTTAATCCACTAAAATGTCTTCTAAATACAAAATCGTGACTGAAAAGAGCTTCAAATCGGACAATACTTCAGACGTAGGAATTGGTCCTAACATTGTCATCATAGTGAATATGAGATCGAAACATTCTTATTCTTGTACGGAACAATTATCAAACACCTTTTTTCTCTCTTCTAAGTTACATTTTTTTAAAGTGCAATATCCTTCTATTCATAATTAGTTTTGCCATTATCACTAGCAAAATTAGCCTCAAGACTAATGAAATTATTTTGTTTGAATATTGGACAATGACTTATTAGATTCACAGTAAAGATGATGCTTGACCTGGTGTAAGTAGATGAGTATGACAACAAGTGTTTGATATCCTCCTTCGAACATCCAATTTTGTATTTGCATCAAATAGTATAATGTTGTAGGACGGTTTACATGTTTACTTAAGTAAGTAATATACTTTGTCGAAAATGAATATTCCTTTCTTGGAATGAATTGCCAACAAATGTTTAAGCTTCCTTGGGATTTTGATCCTATATTCCTTCGGATGACATTGGATTAACATTTATTTCTCCTTTTGTCATCTTCGTTTACTATCGAGCATATTTTACTTGTTTAAGAATAAAAATGAATATTTTATTATGAGTTTCACATATAAGCATATTTTACTTGTTTTTTATTTAAAATTTGAAGAAAGTTGTTTGGATAAACAACTCAATTATAAGATCCATAATAAAATATTTAAGTTTATTCTTAAACAACTCAATTATAAGATCCATAATAAAATATTTAAGTTTATTCTTAAACAACTCTAATTAAAAACTCTCTTTAAAAATGTTCGAAAAAAAATAGTAGCATATGTAAAAACTAAAAAGCAAAAATAAAATATTTAAAAAATTAGAAATAATCAATTTATTTAGAAGTACTAAGGTAATAAAATATATTTAAGTAGAAAAAAAACAAGGTTTGATTGATTATTGTGAATTTTCGATAATGATAACCATTATTACAACTAACTAAGATTAAAAATAAATGTTCATATCTAAATATAACACTTACATGTACAGTAACTATATAACCAATCTAAAAATAAATCACCTAATAAATAAATCTTGAATATATAATGCAATTTTTATTTTTTATTTTTTTTCGTTTGGAGTTTCTTCCAATCCAGGGTATATAATAATCTTATTCACAATAATGTGACTCTTATTATAGATTTCACATATGATAGTCATATTCGATCAACCAACTAAAAAAATACATTGAATTATCTCATTTATATTTTTATTGTTTTACAATCAAATCAAATAAGTGATTGAAAATTTATATTTTTGATAATGGGTTGTTTAACATTTTATCGGTTGACAATTTATTATATAAGTTATATTATATGCTAGTTAACCTCTTGTCTAATAATGACTTTTAAATAAGTTTTTTTTATCTAATAATGACTTATATGATTTTTTATTGTTATAAAAATGTCATTTTTTTATTTTACTCTTTTACTAGTATATTATTTTTTTTTGTATTTTATTTCTATAATTTTTTGTTTGTTTTGATTTATAATATATATTTTAATTTTAATTTTTGATGACATCGGATACTTTTGATAATAAAATTGATTTGATATTTATTTCATTGATGAAATATACCATGACAACAATGTTAACTTTGACGGATAAGGATAGATAAAAATATTGTCTAATATAATTGTTGAAAAAAAAGTTCAAGAATTAAAATAAAAAATCGAATTTATGAACAAAAAAATTAATAGAGCCTCTCATTCAAAAATTTATATCATAATCAACATATGACGAGTACGTGTATAATAAAAGATAAAATTTAGATTATTTTAGGTTATAATTAATTTAGTTTTACTTTTTATTTTATAAAAATAATTTTAGAGATTAATTTAAAAAATTATTTTTGAAAGTAAGAATTAAAATAATTTGATAACTGTAATTTAAAAATCGGATGAACGAGAGAAACGTTAATTATAATTAAAAATCAAGTTTAATAACTTTATATAATAAAGATGGATAATATAACATAGCAATCATTGGGCTAATGGATAAAAAACATTTTTATCAAATTGAATTTTTTTAAATGAAAAAAAATTAAGATTATTAAAAATATTTTAAGTAGACAATTGACAAACAAATTTTAGTTTTTAAAAAATTAAAATTATTTTATAAAATTGCCATATAGAACTATATGTCAGTTTATCTAATTCAATTTAAGATTTAATAAAAAATAACATAAAAAACATAATAAAATAATTTTTAATTTTTTTATACTATATTGAATAAGATATCTATATTGAAGATCATAATTAATATTAAGCAAAATTACTTAGGCCTAAATTACCCTCCACATGGTGAATAATGCAAACAATTGTTTTTCAATGCTCCTATAGTGGATTTTGCTAAAACTATTATAAGATTTCCCAACTTTTTATTACAATTTCCTTCAATTTCATTATATTTTAAGATTATAAATTGACTTTTGAATATTTCAATAGATTCATCCGTTCTCACTCTAACAATTTTGACATGATAATCCCTCTAAGAGGGTATAATGAAATATTTTATCGAAAAGAAAATTATAAAAAATCTTCTTCAAGACAAGAAAATATAATAAAAAAAATTCTTAAAATAAAATATATAATAAAATTTTATATTAACTAAATATATAATATTATTATAATATATAATTACTACCAATAAAATTAATTAAAATCAAAATCATAGATTAAAAATTATAACTCAATAATATCTGAAACATAATAATTCACCAGATATTACCCATAACATATATCAGGAACACTCTATGTAACCGTCTCCATTTCTAATAAAAAGGCATGATATTGAATACGAAATGATTAACAAAAGACCATATCAAATAAAAATTCAGTCATCAAGAAAGTGATCTTAATAATAATCTGCAATGGCATCTCAATCTTACTAAAAAGTGCCACTTGTCACGCCACCTTCTCGTCAACCTGGAAAAAAAAAAGTTATTTTAAGTGTGAAACTCAATAAAACAAACAAAACCACTCTAAACAACACACACGTAGTAAAATGACCTACAGAATTTAAGATGCATTTTCACCAACTACCTAACCACTTTTTATTATTTCTCACCATTTTTGTCTAAATGTGTCAGCCTCCGTGAATATTACCGAAATATTTATTTTAGTATTTGTCTAAAAAATTATGTAATTATGTTCAAATGTTAAGCTTTTATATTATTTTGTTATTAGAATATATTTTTAAAAACTATTTAATTAGTAAATTAGATATTTTTTTATTAAACTATAGGGACTAATTTAAAATTTTATATCTTTAAAAAATTAAATTAATAAAATTCATTTATCATTACTTTCACTACAGAACATGATGTTTTCTCCTTGAAATTCTCACTCGGACAGTGACGAACCTCATTTTTTTTTCTGATAAAAAGTCTTCTAATTATAATTTGAAGAGTATACGAATAATCTAATTATCCATCAACGCATATCTGGTTTTTTTATTGGATTTTAAAATATTTTTGTATGATCAAAACAAAGAGTGGGTCCGTGCAATGTTATGTTACTGGTCACTTTTGAGTCAATGTGCAACTTTCCAATTGGTAATAATTAAATTAAAATTTAAAAGCTCAAAATTCTGAACTGAAACTGAAACCATTCCTCTATGGGTTTCAAAGCAAGTAACTTTTTGCTTGAAATTTCATAACCGAAGTTGAGGATCGCATTCCATCGGCCATGAGTTTTCAAGACATCCAAGGTGGGCCACACCCTTCCTCTCGCCGGAGCCAGTCGCCGTCGCAGGCCGTCGCCGCCGGAATTTTCCAGATCAACACGGCCGTCGCCACTTTTCAGCGACTCGTCGATGGCGTTGGAACCGTTAAAGACACTCCTGAACACCGTCAGAAGCTGTACCTTCACGTTACCCCTTTTGCTCTCCAATTTTTTATTTTTTATTTTGTGTGTGTGTGTGTGTAAGTTTACACTATTGTGTGTTTGGTAGGCACAATACAAGGCAGAGAATATTGCAACTGGTGAAGGATACTTCTGCTAAGCTCAAATCCTTGAGTGAATCTGATCGTGATGCTAATGCCAATGTATGCTGCTCTTTTTTTTGTATTACTTTTTCTTTTCTTTGATTACCCACGCTTGATCATAACCTGGTTATGCTTTCTGGTTTTGCAATTGACGTTTGGTCTTGTATTCTATGTTCTCCCATTTTTCTGCTTCTTTTATTGTGGTTGAAAACACTACGAAGAATTTCATTTGAATACTTTCGCATTGTGAATATTTGTATGTTCTCATCTAATCATGATCATTTGCTGCGTATGTATGTGGACTTTACAAGTAATTAGTTCATCTCACATGTGGGTAGTTTCTAATTGGTAAATAGTGGACAGATTTTTAAACTAATAGTGTATCAAAACTAAAATCAGCTGTGATTTTTAGCAATGAAAAAAGAAAGTAGTTTGGATAAATAACACTCCTTGTTCTTTTTTTGTAACCCAGGCCAGTAAGAAAATTGAAGATGCTAAGCTTGCTAGAGATTTCCAAACGACATTGCAAGAGTTCCAGAAAGTACAACAGCTTGCTTCTGAGCGCGAATCGGCTTACACCCCTGCTGCCCCCCCTTCTTCTTTACCAACAAGGTCGATGATCATTCTTTACATAGGCCTCTTGATAAATTTTTCCATAAAATTAGCTTATTCACAAGTTCGTTTTTAGAAGCTTTATCATATAGTTTCTTTACATTTTGATTTTTAACTTATGCCTAAACTAATTTTAGTTTGGCTTATAGAGATTTCAATTTCATTTTTTTTCTTCTTATTTTTTTCCTTAGAAATGTTTGTGTTGAAGCTTGTCTAAAAATACTTACATATAATTTTGTAAAAGATGACTTATATACGTTCAAAATCTGACTATGCCTAATTTTTTTTCTTCCTTGCGATTTGAGCTCTCTATCATTTCTGTGTATACAGCTCTGGTTCTGGTGAAGAATTGGTTGGGATAGATGTTGAAAGCCAACCTTTTATTAGAGAGCAGAAGAGGTAACTATGCAACATTTTAGCTAGTTCACTGAACCGATGAATTCAATGATATTTAATCTTTACCTTACCGTTGTAATATAGAAACAATATGCATTTGTGTATGGCAGATGTATAGTTTTTTTTTTTTGGCTTATTCAACTATTGATTGAAATTTAAGTTTTCATGGTCTGATTTGCTTCATCACTGAAATAAAACTGCAGGCAAGAGATACTTCTATTGGATAATGAAATATCATTCAACGAGGCCATGATTGATGAAAGAGAACAGGGAATAAGAGAGGTAGAAGAGCAAATTGGACAAGCAAATGAAATATTCAAGGACCTTGCTGTTCTTGTTCATGACCAGGGAGTTGTTATTGGTAAATAAGATTACCGTTTTACTTGCTTTATGTTGGTAAAGTATTTAGTTATTCTATCTTTCATATTTTATGCAACATTCTGGCAGATGACATTCAATCAAATATTGATGCTTCTGCTGGTGCAACAATCCAAGCTAGGGTCCAGCTAGCCAAGGCTTCCAAAAGTGTGAAATCCAGAACCTCATGGGTGAGTCATAAAGATCTTATTATACTAATCTTAAGTTTTGGCTATATGATGCCGTCCATTTCATGTATGACATTTATTTTTTAGAATATAGTTTGTCTTATTTCTTACGAATGGAATTGCACAGTGCACACCACCCTTAGATATTAACATCTGCACGCAACTCATAGAAAAATATTCCCAGTGTCAGAGAGCAGCACGCAACATTATTTTACCAGTAATGCTATTATTTTATCACACTTGTGCATCATTCTTATATTATTTGACTACTCATATAACATTTATTTCTTTGCAGTGTTGGTGGGTGCTTGTAATTTTTGTGGTCGTGCTGGTCATATTACTTATTGTACTCATTTTTTAGTATGCACCTGCATACAATTGGGGCCAGATTATTTGTCCCTCATATTTGGTGTGTGTTTTGTGGTGTGAAAGTGTTTTGACCAAAAGAGATGTGTTAGAAAGTTCTGCAATGCAGTTTGATATGTTGACTGCATTTGAAGCTGGAAGAAGTTGGCGAGGTAAAGTGATTTTATTAAAAAACATTGTCCTGTATTTGCAATATAGAATTTCTAGTTGTTTGAAACATAAATTCTCAAGCCATTGCCAATTTGTTGATGGCAAGTGCCTTCCTTGTGTGCATATTTTCACGTCCATGCTGATTGTCTGTGTTAATTCTCCTTTCCAAGTTTCAACCCTCCCCTGCATACTACTTGTTTAACATCGCATTCAAGTAATAGTCTGTTTCTGTATTTGAACTATGATATTGTAGACTTTTTTATTACTTAAAAAATGTTACTTCACTGTCACATGACCTGCCATTAAATTACAGAACACAGAATATCAAGTGTTAGACACAACGGTTAATATGCCGAACCAAGATCGAATTGTAGTTCAATTCTTAGTAGAAATAGTGCTTGGTCAAGTTTTCTTTACCTTTCGGCCGAGTTAGGATAGTCTAACACAATGCGTTGAAATACTGTGTTCATAAAAAAACAGAATTCCCAATCATGTAAATAATAAAATAAATATATATAAAGCAAAGCAACGCATATCATTTGAAAAAAAATAATAATAAAAAATAAGCTAAGTGATAGGCGTGTGACATAGATTCCGTTTGTAATTGGGAATGCTAGTATTTTTATTTTATCTGTTAAATGGATTCAGTGACACATCATGACTTTGGAGTATTACAAACCATTATATTAAACTATCCTTGTAATTTTTTTTATTTCAAGAATGTTGCACAAGATTGTTACCCTCTCAACGCGGAGGACATGATTTCTCATATATATTGAAATCAACATGAAAAATAAAGATGCATTTATTAATACAAAGGAGAATTTTATACATATAATCAGTTCGGAAAATCTCTATATTTTTGTATAGAAATAATTACTTATCACATTACTTAAATAAAAAATAAAATAATGAAATATTTTTTTTCAATTAAGAAGTATTTTTATTTTTCATCATTTTGTCCATGACGTCTATCAATACATTCTTTTAAGAAAAAAAAAAAAGGAAAGCATGGAAACATTTTGGGCTTTCTGCCAGGTAAAGAAAAGACAACAAAACGAAGCGCGGAAAGGGAGGGAAAAAGTCATAGTTATATTAAAAGAATATTATAATAATAATAATAATATTATTATTTTATATTAAGCGAAAAAACAAAGAGAAAGGAAGAAGATGAAGATCCCAGTGGGATTGGCATGTGCATCTGCTACTAACCAAACAGCACAAGAAAAAAGGAGAAGAGAAGCAAGCAGTGTAGGAGAGAGTGTGTGTGAAAGAAAGAGAGAGCGCGTGAGAGATTGAAGTACCAGAATGGGGAGTCTAGTGTACCAAGTGATTTCCTCGGTAGCACTCCTCACGCTTGGAATGTACCACCTAATAAGCACCACGCGCAACTTCCTCAAATCGCCCCACACCTACGTCGCCAAACCCTTCCACCCCTTCCCCTACCCCCGCCGTCTACCGCTCTACCTTGCCATTCTCGTCCTCCTCGTCGCCATCACCCACCACCTCCTCCTCTCGGCGGACTCCGACCCCTTGCTCCGCGGCGCAACCCCCGTCCACCTCCTCGTCTCCCTCCAGTCCGCTGCCACGCTCTTCCTCTTTCTCCTCCTCGCCCTCGCCCTCCTCCTCGCGGACGCCTCTCCTGCACTCCTCCCCCTCCCCGCTGACCTTGCCTTCGCCCTCGCCTCCGCGGTTTTCCTCATCCACGCCGCCCTCGCATCGGCCCGCGCCTCGCTTCAGACCTCCGCCATCGAGGCTAAGTGCCTCTCTGTCTCCGCTAGCCTCTCCTCCGTCTCCGCCCTTCTCTGCCTCCTCCTCGCCGCCCTCCCCCGCCTCTTCCCCGCCGATGCCGCTCTCGCCGCCACATTTTGCCTCCGCGGCTTCTGGTCCCTCCAGACCGGCCTCTCCCTATACGTGGACGCCTTCATCCCCGACGGTTGCCACCGCCTTCTTGACGTCAAGAGCGGCGTCGAGGGATCCACGCAGTGCGATCTCGAGGATTCCAAGTTCCGCGCCGTTGCGATTCTCGATCTTGCGTTCCTGATCTACGCCACCTTCGTCGTTCTCATTGTTCTAGTAACCTACGCTCTCGTCGCCAAGAGCGTTGGTGCGAGGAGGCTCGGATCATATGAGGCGCTCCCCACCGCGTCTTCAACTGCGGACGCCAACCACAGTCATATTCAGATGAAGGCCTTGACCGGCACCCAGGCTTGAATCTTTTCGCTCAATATATTACCTTTTTTTTTCCTTTTTTTTTTTTCTAAAATTTCTTGTCTGTCTTTCTCTGATCAGAATGTAGGTTTGAACTCTGTGAATACACCATAGTATTCCTGTTTAGTGAGTGAGGTGAATTGGCTATGTAGTTCAATTTTGTTTTGTTACTTGTTACTGCTTTGCATATTCCTAAACACCCCTTCATACATATGATATGAACCATGGCTCAAAATACACCTTGACGTTGCAGTTGCAGTTGCAGTGAGATGAAAAATTGCACACTGCAGTTTTATTCTTTTGATACGCATATGATTTTAAGGAGTGTAGCAGGTACTCAAATGTGGATTGCTTCCTTATAGACTTTTTTATTATGTATGCCTTTTGGAATTGAAATTGAAAATGATAACCTACGTATAAATGAGCATGATGATCACTGTCGTGAACTTCATAGTGATAATGAATGTAGGGTAGAGTAATTATTCTATGTGGGGAATTTAATACAGTTTAGATGCTATCATGTCAAGATCGCATCGGCTAGTGGTGAAGGATTACTTGCATGAACTAAAGTTTACGTTTACATTACATGGGAGTTCTTATTATTTTTTCTTTTCATGAATTGTTGATGTTGAAGTGTTTACATTTCTTTAAATTTGACTGTGAATTGCCTTGGAATAATATTTAGATGTCCCCTCCTTGATCTTTTACTATCCATTAAGGGGGTAAAGTCTATTCTTTCATGGTTAATTCAAGGACCTGAAACCAGTGATTTATTGAGGATAGGGTTCTTTTTGTATGTATTTTGTTTCTCATTGGTCTGATTCTGTTTTAGAAGCATAGATTGTAATCTACTTGAGTTTTTTTTTTTCTGCTCTCAGTATGGAATTAAGGTGATGGAATGAGCATAACAATATCTAACAGATTTATGTAGTATAAAAAACTATTATAGCAATGAGACAGAGTTTCAAAGAAAATATTTTGATTTACTTGGTTATGCATGCTTTACTTGATAGAAAAATAGTTTGGAACCAAACAGTTTCTTCGTTATAGATGAAATTGAAGATTTGTACATGGGGTTCCAGTTTATTACTGCGCAAGGTAGATTGCACATGAAATAAATCTCTCCTTGTTTCAGCTGAGATCATTTGATTAATATCCTTCTTGTGATTCAGCATGAGTCATGAAATGCATTTTCTTGGGATGTATATGGGAGCATTCTAATACTTTATGCATGGACACTCACAACACATTTTTTTTCTTTCTTCAACACAGCCCATTTTATTTGTAGTGAAAGCAGTCATTCGTTTCAAGTGTGCACTACTAATATTGAACTTGTGTGGCAGCATACAATTCTTCATGCATTCATAGTGGTAAAAGTGGCCTTTTCTCTTTCGTATATTTTGGGGTTGAAGCATTGTAATGGTAAAAGTGGCATGGTAAAATACTTTTGACTTTTATTACATTACTACATAATTGATGCCAGCTTGCGAGTCAAGATGGGAGAGCAAATAAATATGATTAGACAAGGACCTTTTACAGTTAATTATTCTGATTGCTTCTACTAACCTAAAAAGTTTGAATTGAAGCAAAAACCACTTCAGTCTAAACATAAGGGTAAATAATGAGAAATACTTGTACGATCGTGGAGGAACTAAAGTCATTTCTCCCTCAGCAATTCCCCCATTTAAAATATTTGGTTTTTAAATTTTACGTCTTATGCTAAGGGTAGATATGTATGGTACAAGAAAAATAACTCCTAGATATACAAAATTGTCGTAAAGTATATTACTTTACCTGCAATGTTTGACTTTAAATCAATCTGACCCTTTCTAGTAAAAACGTTGCCTCCTATCTTCTGCTCTATACTCTTTAAGTAGGGTATGCTTATTGTCATATGTATTTAAGATTCGAAAAAAAATGTTTATAGTGATTATCACTTGACAAAGGCAAGCATTTTTCATTATACTACAAGGTCAAACAACTACGGTTCTTTAGACTTAGATTATATACGACATAATTCACGCCTTAATAAACAGGGCCATATCGTGTGAATATGTAGGGGTTGTGGTCAATCGTTTGTTAGCAGTTCTGATTGTTTTAAATATCCCTGCTATGTGGATGACCCTTTCTAGTAAAAACGTTGCCTCCTATCTTCTGCTCTATACTCTTTAAGTAGGGTATGCTTATTGTCATATGTATTTAAGATTCGAAAAAAAATGTTTATAGTGATTATCACTTGACAAAGGCAAGCATTGTTCATTATACTACAAGGTCAAACAACTACGGTTCTGTAGACTTCGATTATATACGACATAATTCACGCCTTAATAAACAGGGCCATATCGTGTGAATATGTAGGGGTTGTGGTCAATCGTTTGTTAGCAGTTCTGATTGTTTTAAATATCCCTGCTATGTGGATGACCTGATTAGTCGCGTGGTTGGAAATTTCTCGAATCATCGTGGATGAAAAATTATATTTCTCCCTCGATAAATCCTAAATCCACCGTTTAGAATATTTAGTTTATTACGGTAGATATGCTCATGGAAGAAGAAAAATTCTTTTCTTCTAGAATGTATAACATTTCTTGTAAATTGTAGTATCCTCCCGCATGGTTTGACTCTAAATTAGTCAATGAAAAACACCAGTAATTAGGCAATTAGCAGGCAATGCCATTTCCCTTTCTTTTATAGAAAATTAACAGCAAATCTAGGAAAATGAGTCAGCATGTGAAATATTATTTTCTTTCATTTTCTTGATACGTACCTGTATAACATGAGAATATTTTATAATTTTTGCTTAATTTCGTAAGAATTAGATCATTTAAAATCTTGAAACTTCTTTAAAATACTTTTATGATTTTGATAATGAATTATCATTTAAATTAAAAATATTAAGATGTTTTTTTTAATAATCGAAGAAACTATAAACAAAAATTAAGCATAAGTTATTAAGTTCTTTAAAAGTAAATTAAATATGTTTCTAATATATGTATAACTTATAGAATAATATTATCTATTTTAATTACAATTGTTCCTGAAAGGAGTTTTTCTTAGTTGAAATTATTAATGATGTAATCTTACCACAAGAAAACAACTTTTAAACGAATGACAAATTATTAATTATTTTACAATAAATAAAATGCAAATAGGATAATATTCAATCATTTATAAGAAAATCGTATTCTTGCTTCTCCAGACTCCAAAAATCTCTGGTTGGCCCTAATCATTGGGTTGTTATTTCTCAAAATAGAATCAGATTTGGCCAATCACCTATACAGCTTTAACAAGAGTTCTACTGGATATAACAGTGCTACGGAATAGAGCTACAGCAAACACTTGTTTCACTGCTATCACTGCTATTTGTTAAACAATGTCCAAAATGGGCATGTGCAACGTACACGAGGATAAATATCAGAAGGTATGGCAATTATTTTATTTTTGTCCTATTGTTGAATGACCTGCATTAGGACCTTGCTGAAAAACATGGGAGGTATTACCGGGGCTCAATGAAACATGCTGAAAAACACATGTTGCACTGTAGTCATGTAATCCAATCGATTATAGGTGTAAAAAGAATTCATATATACCTTCTGCAAGCAGCAACCGTTGTTGAGTCCCGCATATTGGTTTTGAAATGGAAAATTTAAATAAAGAACAATCTATTTTAGAAAAGAAATAGCAGAGAATCAGAGACTTTAGCCCCTCAACCAGTCCTGGAAGTAGGATTGCATCTTTTCTCGATTAGCAGCATTCCCAACATTCACAGTTGGAATGATCTTGTCAGGTCTCAAAAACTGTGTGAAGATAAAGATATCATCAAATAAATTATCATTAATCGGTGAGTGTAATAAGAATATTCAGTTCCGGACCTGAACAAAATCTCGCAATTCTGTGAAGCTGGAGTGTTCACTGTAGGGAACCCCTGGCAGAAGCAAAAAGGGACTAGTAAACTGTACTGGTATGGTAGATAAATATCTATTGCTACTTCCATCTTAGTAAGAATTAGTTTTTAATAATTTGTTTCCTTTTATTTAAAATTCAAGACAATATTAATCATTGTTTTGTCAAATATATCTTTACCTTCACCTAGTTTTTGAATATTTTAGACAGTTATCATGGAATTAAAGTAAGAGAAATGGAAAATAATAAATGAAGGAAATTAATTAATAATATAAATAAGTATGACAAAAAATTAATAGCAATTTTAATTAGAATGACAATGTTAATTATATTTCTTAATTCTTATGTCACAGCCTTAAACAAAACTTTAAAAAGCTTGTTCGGCACTCGGGACCATGACGTACTACATGCATTTCAGCATCTCAAAGCAGATTGTTACTATGAAGAAACACTATACCCAGATACACCACAGTTGAGTCCAGTGCATTTTCAATACAAAACAAGTACTAATAACAATTTCATATTTTATACCAAGAGAAGTTGCTGAAATGCAGTTAATCTTACCATATATCGTGATACTTCCTTTGGTAACAGGTTTAATTAGTTCCAGATCGTTGCTTATCTTCTCACTGAAAGTCCAACCTAAAAAAATGAAAGATGAAGTATTGCCACTTGAATCAACTACTCTGTAGGCACAAATATCTTTTCTGTTGATAACTTAAAATACCAAGATGATTCGGATCTAAATGTTATCATAAGTATAGGTAAACATACCTGTTGGACGAAACGCCAAAACTGCTGTGAATTGTTCCTTGTAGGTCTTCAAGTAATCCTTTAAGGTCTAATAAAGTAACAAGAACATGATGGCGAATTATAATAAAACAAAACAATATTTTAAGAGGAAAATGTAACGACACAAAATAAACCTCGAGTCTCAAAGAAGACATAGGCAGAACATGGAGAAGTGTGTTATTTCCTTTTGTGCAGAGTCTATCTGAAAGGTCGGGCCAACCAAAAGCTTGCAAAATCCGTCTTCTTGAAGCATTGGCATAAATTTTTACCTGAATCATAAAAGAGGCATAAATATTGTGTCACTGGGTCAAACAGTCTAAGAGGAGACATAACATGCCAACTTAAAGCTACTTTTGTTAATTCAGGCAGAAAACAGTCTAAAATCCATTAAAGGACCTCATAAATCTAACTTTTTTTTTTTTTCTGGATATAATGCAAGAATATGATTATAGATTAGCTCATCAAGACAAACCAATCTTTTAGGTATCAGTCTATGATCTGTCTGAACACTGAAGAATCAAAGAAATAAAGTGAATATATGTTTTTATTTGTCCTGGCACATGCCTTCATGTCAACGAGAAGGACAATCGAAAAAAATAAGCATATAGAATGAACGCGAATCAAAATAGATGTCTACCATGGAAAAACAATCACATACCCCAAGAGCTTTAGAAATTGAAAGATATACGCATTCTTTGCCAATACTATATGCCCCAACAACCACTAAAGTTCTGGGATGAATTTTGAGGTGGTTCTTTGTAATTTTGACTACATAATTAAGTACATCTTCCTTGGAAGGGAACCTGAACCAGAAATGTGTTAACCATCAATCGAGAATAGTAAAACCAATGATTAGATATTGTAATCCAATGAAAAGACCTGTACAAAACTAGAACAGTGTCTTACCTATATTTTGGGTTGCAATATGTGGTATCCAAATAAAGTACATTCACACGTTGATTTACAAGAAGATGGTAAGCTTGCATTGGTTTACAAGCTCTGAAGTCCCCAGTGTGCAAATAGCACTGATCATCTGGGAGGCCAAAGTGAATCAAAGCTGCACCAGGACAATGATTAGCTTCTAACAAAGTCACTTTGACACCATCAATCACATGTTCAGTATTAAATTCCAAAGGGTGGATATACCTATACAAATAAATATAAAAAAGAAATCAAAAGTTAATCCCTTCACAGAAATGCAAGATGAAAAACATGATTAAGTGCAGCTTGATGTGTCGGTTCATGTGCAAGTAAGCAATCTACAAACAGAGCATAAGAGAAATGAGAGCTTTTCTGATTTCTTACAAAGGATTTACCGAGAGACACATTTGAACAAGCCGTCCCGTGAGAGGAGAGCAATATATTGGGCCATGTGACCATTTCTTGCTAAGGCCGCCATAGTGATCACAATGGAAATGACTAAGAAAATACGCTGAGCACCCTTGAACACACCCATACCGAAAAGCATCAACAGTGAATGTTGTCCCTGCATTGACAAATAAAGTATGTTCATTTAGAACATTTACAAACTATGTTTCCTCATTTTGAGAACAAAATATAAGGACAAAAAAACAAGAGGGAACTGTTGCCAAACAAATATCCCAATCAATTTTTATCATCAATCCCTTGGACAAAACCAATTTACAATTTTGGATGTAGTTGTTCTATTGTTCCCTAACTCGACTTGAATCAGTAGAGTAATAATGACACGTTTAGATAAATTATTCCATAAACACTTAGAAAGTGTTTCTTTTGTTTCAAGTTCTGTTTCTACATTCCAAATAATACTTCCTAAATTTACTAGAATAAAAAACAAGAGAATGGAAGTTGCATATTACAAAGTAACTTCCCTCATTCGGTGGGAATATAACCTACCTATCCCTAACTTTCCTAATATAAAAGGATTCCATGAAATAAACGTGTTCCAGTAAAATGCAAGTTAATGAATAACTTTTCCAGTAAGCTAAAATTAACTTATATACTTATCTTCCATAGAAGTGTTTTCATTTAACATCTCCGAAAAGTGATATACATAAAGTTTATTTTAGGTTACAGATGAAGTCCAATTTATTTTACATTTTTGTTTTCTTCGTCTACTAAGAGTGTTTATATAATAGATGATCGAATAGAACCTTCTTAGTATAATATTCTATCAGATATTAAAATGGAAGAATAATTTTCATTTGATTTCACCTGGGATTTTCTTATAAAAGGGACAGGAACGTGTAACCCTATTTTCACCACTAAAACCCTTTCTTTTGCTAAAAGATTTCGTGTGCTCAGAGTCTTTCCCTGTGTCGCGCAAAACCGAACCCCAATCTCCAGGTTTCACAAACTTCCTCTCAGAAGAACCACCTCCGTCATCAGAATAACCACTCAAACTGGGTCCAGATTCAACTGGACTACCAGCGTCGTTTCTGTTGAAACCCCAAATCTGGAACAGATTGGCCTGCTTCATCTTCTTCCCCGAATCGCGCTCGAAATCCCTGTGTCTATTATTACTGACTTCCGGCGACAACAGTGAGGACCAATCGGTTCCGCAGCGATAGAAATCGGTGGCGAAACTGCTGGTTTCAGACGGCGTTTCCGATCCGGGGAGTTGCGATGGAAAACCCTCGTCGTCCAGTAATACGACGTCGAACGAAGCGACGTCGTTGTCGTGAGGTAACGGCTCCTCCCCTAACGCCGGTGGCGGTGATGCGTCGGTGAATAGCGCCATTGCTTTCGTGACCGCGCGTAAAGAACCGAAATTAAATGGCGATTTGGTTTTTTAAAATGATTCCGCGGGAAAATTAACGAGGTTATGATAAATTACAGTACCGGTTCGTAAAATGTTTTGGCGAGGTTTTTCTTTTTTCTTTTTCTTTTTATATAGATTTGTTTATTTATATTTTTAAAAACAATTCAGTCTGGTCGTATATAGTAATATACTTTTTGTATTAATTTCATTAGTAATTTTAATATATTAATAATTAAAATTAATCAACAAAATATTTTTTGCTAATTCTTTTATAGGTATTCTGTTTAGCAACGAGATTCATTTATTCTCTTTTGTTTTATATTTTTTGTATTATATTAAATTGGAATGAAATATATAATTTTTCAAATGATTTTTCTTTTTTTTTAATGGGATATATAAATTATTTTTGTTCTTATTTGATTCTTACAAAACGTTAAACCCATAAGTATATTAGTTGTTTTAATTTTTTTTATTTGAGTTGATTAAGAGAAGAAGGAATATAATTCTCTTCAAAATTAAGGAACATATATAAAAAGATATTTTGCTCTCAACCTTATTATTATAGATATTTATGTTTTGTTTTAAAAAAATAATGTCTCGATTTTATGTTTATTATAATAGTATTTTTAAAATTAATTATTATGTTTAAAATATTATTTATTTTAAATTTTATTTTATTTTAAAAAACATTTATGTAATTTTTGAAAAATATGATATATATATATATAAATTATTTTAATATTAACTTTTAAACAATATAAATTAATAAATATAATAATGAGAGTTGAATTACATGCAATAAAATTGATTTATAAATTTTAAATAATAAATAATATAAATAATGACTCTAAAACTCATCAAAGTATATCTAAAAATATGTGTAAGATCAATAATTTTAAATATATAAAAATTAGTAATCATAAAAATATAAATATATTATATAAAAATTTTAACAACATGTTTAACGTGATTAATTGAATTTAAAATTAGAAGTTATAATAAATTTATAATTTTTTTTAGACATTTTTAAGACGTAATCTAAATACTTTTTTATATTTTAATATCAAAATAAAATATTAAAATAATTAACTAATTAATAACAAATAAAAAATTATATTAATATTTCATATTTTTATTCTATATTACACTTATTAATTTGTTATATAATAAACAAAAAAAAATAAAATTAATTTTATTCACTCATTTTTTTTACAAGAGGTGTCGCATTTATTTTCTTATGTCTTCAATATAAAAAATAATTAAAAAACAAAAAATAATAAATTTTTATGCTATAAAATAAACTATAAAAAAATTGTGAAAACTAAAAGAGAAACTTACAAAAATTTATGTTGTAGTGAAATTATGAAAGAAAATAATATAAAAATAAATGAGGGTAAATAAAAAAAATAAAAAATTTAAGAAGATAAATTGAATTTCTGTAAAAAAAATATATATATATATATATATATATATATATATATATATATATATATATATATTTTAAATAAACTAGTAGATTAACACGCCACGTTCCATTATCTATCGAATTTGTGGGTTAGACGTGATGGACTCACCCTATCATTTCTTACATGACCATCAGACCTAATCCATTTTCCTGAATCTTGGGATGACATGAACCAAGAGATATTGAGTTTTGAAATTCAAGATTCAATGGCTTATTAAATTTTCTCTATGTCCATAGAGTAAAGATTGCTAAATATATATTATTTTTATTTTTGGCTACATTAATGTTTCTTTAATATTTTTATAACCATTATTTAATTACATTACCTTTATATAATATAATAATGGTTTTAGTACTTAATTTTTCAAAAATTTTCTAATATTCTTATAATTAATGAGGAATATATTCTTTTAAAATAAAATTTTCACAACTTTCTAATATAATTTATATTATAATCTTAAAAGTATTATGTATAGTTGGGATTATCTTATATCCTATAAAAAAAATCTAAACTCGATCTGTGATGTATGTTTTTTTTAATATTATAATAATATTATTGTGCAATAAAACTTTGTTATGAAGTTTTTTTCGTAAAATTTTTCTTATATATGTGCATACGAGTAACGGGGAGGAGACAAAATCTAAATTTTCCTCTCATCCTTCTTCTTTTTTATCTAAATTTCAAGCAACGATACTCTACTCTGCAGGATCTGGTAAAACGGGAGAGAGTTTGAATTAAGTGGGAAAACTTCGATAGAAATACCACACTAGGCAAGGGGAAGTTTAATTCATTCAATATATGAAATTGAATTGCTGGGTACTCTGTAATAAAGAATAGAAGTAGAGATATGAATTATTTGAATGTCTGATTTTGAAGAATTTCTGATTCTGATGAACTGTTCACCGTTTGAAAGTTTTTGAAATTCTTAAAATTAAAGATGAATTATATGGTAAAATTGTTGTTTTCAACTTAAATTAGATATAATTCATGTTTTATTTGAATTTGAGACTAATTTGATTGTCTAAAACTGAGTAATTTGAAATCTGTTAAAATCTGCAAATTTTGATAATGTTATTGGGCGAAGGAAGAAGAAATGGATATGGTGGGGATTTTTTAAAAATATCAAGGGTAAAATAGTCATTTTACATCCTAGGGACATAAATGGAATTTTTGAAAATGTTCAAGGGTAAAATAGTCATTTAGGGACATACACGGAATTTTCAGAAAAGATTAAGGGAAAAATAGTAATTTAATGATTTTGAAAAAGATTTTGGAAATGATTTTGGAAAGGAAAATAAGAAGAAAGAAGAAGAATATATATATATATATATATATATATATATATATATATATATATATATATATATATATATATATATATGATAGATAGATAGATAGATATGATAGATAGATAGATAGATAGATAGATAGATAGAATGAAAGTAGCATTTTTAAAGATTTTGTAGTGTGTTGTGACGTATGTGAGTTAGATTGAGTTTAAGGGTTGATGCCCATAATCAGTCATGAGATGTTATGTATTGGCTAGAATGAATCGGAGGGTTGGTGCCCAGAATCAGTCAAATACTATTATTTATTGACTTGAATGAGCCGTGAGGACAGGTGGTCCAAAATCCGGCAAATGTGAATAATTTTTGTTGTGTTTGAATGGTACCCAGGGTGGTACAGAGTACTTTAGTGTAATAACTATGTCAGAGAATTCTGAATGAGGTCCCAGACTTCACTGATTGGTCGGGTCAGGTAAATTACGAGATCAAGTGGTGAGAAGTCGATGGGGGATGACTGGTGGCACGCTTGGAGGGGTACTCCAGTATGAGTGATGAAAGCGGCCAGTAATCCTACTCTGTGTGGAGGGTGGTCAAAATGGTAATGTGGGTGCCGATCATAATGTGCCCACAGGTAATAGCTCTTAGTTCGGGCATAGTTAGAGTATATTTCTGGAAGGTGTCTTAGTGTGTTGATGATTTTGTAATTGATCATAATATATAATTATTACTTCTATATATGTTTTATTATATCGAATGATTTAATACTTACTCCTATTTTTCCATATAGATGGGACTGCGATGATCACTTTTATGTGGGAGCAGATCAAGAGTTGAGAGATGGAGATGTGAGTACTGGACAACACGGATAGTTCAGTGGGATAACTTCGAAGGAGCTACTTTTACATGTATAATATATAAATAAATTATGTTACTATATTTTGAGGTTCAGTTAGTGAACTAGAATTTCAATTTATGTTACAATTACGAGTAATATAATGTAAGATAGATGTCGTTATTTACTTGTTTACTATTTTGCGAAGGTATCATTATAGTAGCGATTTCTAGAGTCGATTACATCTGATCTATGAATTTAATAAAAATGATGAAAAATGAAAAAAAAATATGAAAATATTTTATGATGTTGATTCATATGATGATAAATATTGATTGTAAAAAATATAATTTTATTAAAATGCTATAAAATATTAACTTTTACGAAAAGGAAAAATAATAATAATAATAATAATAATAATAATAATAATAATAATAATAATAATAATGTTGATAATATTATAAGAAAAGTTAATATTTTATCCAACCTAAATAAATGTTTTTAAATTTATTTTTAAAATCAATAATAAACAAAAATTATTTTATAATATATTTTAATTTAAAATGATAAATAAAAAATATTGTTCATTAAAAAAATTAATATTTACTAAATTAATTTAATTATGCATATTCAATTAGGAGTAATTGTCTTATAAGAGGAGGAGTAGGATGTTAATTCTTTTGCATGTGTAATATTAAAGGTCGTTCTTAATTATATTTTTTATTAAACAATTATCCGAATGTTACACAAAAATTAAATATAATTTAATTTATTCTAAAATTCGAACTAAATCAAACGTGATTCGATTTATATTAATTTTGTAATTTTTCTTATTATAAATTGGTTAAACATTTTACAAAGATAAAGAGAGATTATGATTTTTTTATAAGTATTATATATTTAAAATTTTAATTTCTTTTAAATAAATTATAAATGATATAATTAAAAATTACAATTCAAAATTGTGATTAAATAAATATATTATAAATAAAATATAATCAAACTTTAAAATAACTCAAGATATCTAATTACTTATGTGTATGTATTAATTAACAATTAATTTTAAATATATAACATTATATTTAAGTAAAATAAACCCTTTAATTCAGTTTCATTCAATTTTAAATTTTAAATTTGAATTTTGATCAAACTGTATGGTTAGGAAAAAATATATCCAAAATTTTCAGTTAAATTCGATTTTGATCGATTTTAACTTTTTTAATGGATTTTAAATTGTTATTTTATCAGTTTGGTTTTTGAATAATAATAAATCCAAATTTGTTTTTAAAAATTATTTTCTTTGAGAGATTTTTTTAATAAATTTTGACAGCAATTTTTTTTCTCATAATCTCACACATAACTCGTTTTAACGATTTTGTGTTAAGATGATGATTC